TATTGAGCGTATAGCACGCCTGGGCGTATAGATAGTAGTCCGTGTAACGACCTTCTCTATTGTTTCTTTGAGTTTGTATAGGAATCCAGCGAAATGGTGTCCAACAGACGAGACCTTACAATTATCTCGATCGCTCAGCTTGTAATGGCAGGTGTCCTCTTCGTGCTCGGAATGGTAGACCATTTTGAAGTTCGCTACATGTATGCCAGTCTCATATTGATGCCAATTTGGATTGCTCTTCTTGTAAGTACATTATATTTCTCATTGGCTAAATCTTTATATTATTTCTCATAAGAATGCATTTAGAAATTGTTAAGTACAGAAAGCCGCAAAAAGCCCAATAATCCTTTCAAAAGATTGTTGAAACGGCGTGTTATTCTGTGCGCTTTTCAAAATTCGAAAGTGCAACGAGACAAAGAAATATTCTAATGCATTCAGCTGATATCTGATTGGCTCAATTGTTTTGTTGCTAGGTGAATTTCATGCTTGATTAATTCCTTCCGCATGAGTCGTTAAGTCATAAAATTGATAAAGAGGCCTGAAATGAAATTCTATCTTGTTATTGATTCAGCACGTTGCCTAGCACGTGACTAAAATCTACCCAGGTGGAGATCCAAAATGACGGTGGCAGTCTTGGCTTAGTTATATCTCTCAAAACTCGTTCCCGTTTGTCTCATTTGATAAAGAGGGGATCGTTAATGTTTTCATTAAGACAGTATTGCCTTGCCTCAAAAAGTAACCCAGTTGAAATCAACACTAGTAGTAATCGTTTACATTTTATGACTACTGATTGAGCAGTTGAATGTTCTTCTAACTGTTTTTTTAGGTCATACCCATTAGCATCATGGGATTGGTTTTAACCATGAACAGGTCCAGACCCTCCTCTGCTTTGGTGAGAATTAAAATAACATAATACTCTTAAAAGTCAGTGATGCAGTGATGTGTGTTTGACTGATCTTTTTTGTTTTTGTTTGTTTGTTTATCATTCTTTGCTTGTTCTTGGCCATTTTCCCACCGAGCGTGCCTTTAAAGA